ATTTCATGCAAAGATACTACTGTTGCCGCATCCGCTGAGCTCAGTCATGTTGGCCCAATCACTCGAAGCAAGTTCAAGGCTAGTGGCTTGGGTGGATTTGAATACTTCGCCTCCTTGGAGATGGCAAAGAAGAGCAGATCTCATGTAACGTCCGCAACCGCAATCTCTGGGGGCAACACCCCATTCTCGCTATTTGATGAACTTTCTCAAACAGCCTCAAACCTTGGTGGATTTGAGGATTTGGTGGATTCTCCAGTTTCAACGAAAGTCAATGCCTTAATGGCTGACGCAACTAATGTGGACGAAAAGTTCTCCATGATGGAACAAACTATAGAGGTCTTGAAGAAATCTGTTGAAGACAAAGACCTTCAAATCGCTCAACTCATGAATAAATTGGAGGCCTATGCACCTGGAGAGTCGAGCCATGTCCCTCCTCGTTCACCTGTCTTTACCTCCCAAAAAATGGTTGTTGAGAAATCATTTGCAAAGTTCAACATTCAAAAGGAAAAGCAATCCACTTCAGTTGAGGCGTTATCTGTCCAACAATTGCAAGACATGATAACAAACACCATCAGAGCTCAATATGGTGGACCATCGCAAAGTTCGTTGTACTACTCTAAGCCTTATACTAAGAGGATTGATTGTTTAACCATGCCAACCAATTATCAACCACCAAAGCCACATCAATTTGATGGCAAAAGGAACCCAAGGCAACATATTTGCCCACTTTGTCGAGACTTGTAGCAATGCTGGAATACATGGTGACCTTTTGGTAAAACAATTTGTTCGTTCTCTGAAAGGGAATGCATTTGACTAGTATGTTGACTTGGAACCCGAGTCCATTGATAGCTGGGAGCAACTTGAGAAGGAATTTCTCAATCGTTTTTACAGTACCCGAAGAACTGTAAGCATGATAGAGTTGACAAGTACCAAGCAAAGGAAGGACGAGCCCGTGGTGGATTACATTAATCGTTGGAGAGCATTAAGTTTGAACTGCAAAGATCACCTTTCAGAAAAATCTGTTATGGAGATGTGCATTCAAGGAATGCATTGGGGCCTTTTGTATATCTTACAAGGGATCAAACCGCTTTTGAAGAACTTGCAACACGAGCGCACGACATGGAGTTAAGCATCGCAAGTCATGGAAAGGCATCTCCATTTACTGATCAGAATGAGTTCAAGAAAAATGTTGCATCAAAGAACCAAACCAAAGAATCAATGGCGGTGAAAGCAACTTCTGTAAAGGTCACTACTAAGCAAAAAGTGAAGGAGGATAAGACCGTAAGTCAATATCCCAAAGAGGAGAAGCGTCGTCCCACCTTGAAGGAATTAGAGGCGAAGGTTTATCCATTTCCAGATTCAGATGTACCCACAATCCTTGATGCACTGCTGAATAAGAAAGTCATTTATCTCCCTGAATCAAAAAGGCCAGAGGAAATTGGCGAAGTTGGCGATCCAAAATACTGCAAGTTTCATCGCGTCATTAGCCACCCTACAGAGAAATGCTTTGTCTTGAAGGAGAAAATCATGGCTCTTGTAAGTGAAGAAAAAATCATCATAGACATAGATGAAACAGCAGAAGCAAATCATGCAAGTATTGCGCTCAAAGAAAAGAAGTGTTCAAGGTTGCATAACGCATCAAGTACCGCCTTCTTGCAATTTGGAAGTTTTGAGCCCGTTGAAGTTGATCTTCCAAAGGAAAATCTTGAAGGTTTACTAGAGTTGGACACTCAGTTCAAAGACAAAGACGATAAGGGTTGGACTTTAGTCACTCACGAGAAACGACAATATCAAGCAGTGTTTAGGCTACAACTTCCCAAGCCAAGAGCAAAAATAAGCAATGTGGATAAGCTACAACGACCAAGAATTGTCAAATCTTCTATTAACAAGAAGATTAACGGTGCCTTGTCACTGAAGTTCTGAAAACCCATCACATTGCATGAATTCTTTCCTGAAAAATTTCTTCATAGAGGTCACGTTGGTGCAACTCATGTAGTTTCTAGTACTGATAAAACAAAGGAAAGCAATAATGAGCTTGTTCCAATTAAAACACCAGAACATGATGATAATGGAAAAGTTGTCACATGTTGTGCAACAATTTCCTTCACAGATGATGACTTGATACTGGGGTCTAAGCCATATAACAGACCTTTGTTCGTTATAGGGGCCATTCGGGAACAACATCTCAATCGCATACTTGTTGATGACGGTTTGGCTGTCAACTTCATGCCAAAGTTGGTGCTAAAAAAGCTTGGGATCTCTATCGATGAGCTATCCAAAAGTAACCTAACAATCCAAGGTTTTAACCAAGGAGGACAACGAGCCATAGGTATGACCCGCGTGGGATTATCCATTCGTGAGATGAAGTCAAACACCCTGATTCACGTCATAGATGCTAAAACATCATACAACTTATTGCTTGGATGTCCTTGGATTCATGAGACTGGAGTGCTATCGTCTACTTTGCATCAATGTCCGAAGTACATAAGGGATGTAGAGATAGTCAAAATTGATGCAAACATCAATCCCTTCACTAAGACGGAGTCATACTTTGCAGATGCAAAATTCTACCTAGATTCTTGTGAACCGAGTTTGGAGAAACCATCATCAGTTGACGAAGCTAATGTCAAGTCAGAAGAAGAAAATGAGGCTCAATGGACTACCACCAAGCTGCCTAAGAAGAGAACTGAAGAAGTCTCCATTAAGCTGTCATCATCTGAAGGTGACATACAGAGAAAGATTTATAAGGAGCATCTAGTTTTTTGCTATATTCCGAGTGAGCGTCGAAAGAAAGGGAAACCTTTGCTACAGGAATGTACTCTAAAGAAGCAAATGAGTCATAAAGATATCCAACATTTGGAGGAGCATATGATTGTCCCAGTTGCACAAATCCCATACGTGACTTGTGAGTCTACTAAAGGCAATCTCCAAGATGATAAAATAAAAGGGCACTATGATCCTAAGGCCTTCATATTGGTTGAAATTCTGGTTGTGACTTCTCCAATCCATCAAGACTAGGAGAACTCAAAGGCGAAGTCACTGGTGAAAAGATACATGGACTCAATGAGTCCCAAATGTAGTTGAGAAAGCAAGGGCACTATGTCGCCACTCCAAAGTTTGGGTTGGGATTCAGTTTGGCAGAGCCTCTTCGAATTTCATCTAAGAGAAGCAAATAGATAGCTTCATCACAACACACCTCGGTAGAGGAGATGGAGGAAGTTAAGGGCACGAAAATAAAACAACGAGCTTCAGTGTTTGATCGCATTGGAGGCTCAACCCCTCAGGTCTCGGTATTTGAAAGGCTAAGTCACAAAGGTGAACATGTATCTTCCAAACGTCTAAAGGAAGTTTTCACTAACTCAAAGACCTCTTTCTTTTGTCGTCTGGGAACCAAAAGGAAGTCACCATCTAGAAAGATACTGTCAAAACATAAGGAGCAAGGCCATGAGGAGTGGGGTCATTTTGAAGTTATTACTGACAAAGAAATCTGTAGTGCTTTCCCATCACGTATGAAGAGGAAGTCTATTTTGTTAATATCCACGAATGGTCCACTGAAGGTGCAAAGGAGAACCATTGTTTACACTTGCCAACTTCATAAAGAAGCAGAGAAAGAGAAAGAAGCCATGCCGACCATCCAAGGAAGTCAAAGAGAAAAGTCAGACTTTGTGGAAACATCCTATCACATAACTGTAGAAAATAGCCCATGCCTTAACATTGATGATGAAGTACACGAGGCTCCCCCTCAACTAGAAGATGGCAGGCAATCAACTGTGGATGAGTTTAAGGAACTCAATTTAGGCACTCTAAAAGATCCACGTATCACCTCCATTAGTGCGATTCTTATGCCTCAGGAGGAGGAGGAATACTCCAAGTTATTGACCGAGTACAAAGGTGTGTTCGCATGGTCGTATAAAGAAATGCATGGTCTTAGTCTAAGGTAGTTGTTCATCATTTAGGGATCAAAAGTGGAGCACGCCCTGTAAAGCAGTCACAACGCATGTTTTGACCCGAGCTTGTATCACAAATTGAAGTCAAAGTCAACAAGCTCATCGAGGCAGGATTTATTCGAGAGGTGAAGTACCCATCATGGATATCGAATATTGAACCTGTCAAGAAGAAGAATGGTCAAATACGTGTTTGTGTTGACTTTCGAGACCTAAACAAGGCATGTCCAAAAGATGACTTCCCGCTACCAATTATTGAACTCATGGTTGATGCTACAACATGGCATGAAGCTATGTCATTCATGGATGGGTCCTCCGAATACAATCAAATCAGAATGTCTCCAAAAAATGAAGAGTGTACTGCTTTCCGAACTCCAAAAGGGATATATTGCTACAAAGTGATGCTCTTCGGTCTGAAGAATGCTGGTTCCACCTACCATTTTGAAACATTTTTTGTGGAAGTTATTAGATTCAGTTTATTGACAAAAACTTCAGCCCATCATTCTGTATCTTTCATCTTCAAATCAACAGTAACCCTTCTCTCATATTCTATACATGCTTATCAATTGATGAGTATGTTTTGTGGAACTCAACCCAGAAAATGAATTTTAAACATATGAGTTCTCCTTTCCTCAATTCGCAAATAAAAATACTGAGTTGGGGTTTCACGATTAGGTTAGGGTTTGGCTTTAATGTTTGTGCATGGATTTATCGTTGGGTTCCGGCAATTGAAAGGAGAAAACTGAATCTGCCATTGTAGTTGATTTCCTAAAATCCAATTCAGGTAGGATAGTTTCCAGGGCAGAACAAGCATTCAAAAGGTAAGATTTGAGATCAATAGATATATTGATCTTTGTTTTGTTTATTCTGAAAATTGTATGCTTCTCTTTCAAACATTTGATTGAATTGGAGAATTGATGCAGCGGCACTACATTGGTGTCATTACTATATTGTAGATCTATAGCATTATTGTCCTTGCGGGAAAAAATGCCAGTATAATTTGCTACGAAGGAAAATGCTTTTCACGACAATTTTCTTGCGGGGAAAAACTTTTTAGATTTTTTGGGTGTAAAAGTAGGCCATACTTTTTCAGTATAAAAAAGTTGTCAATCACGTCAAATGTTGTATTGATAAAGAGTTGGGATAAACATAAAAAAAATTCTATTATTTGGATTGAAGATTTCTGTGGTGAGAATTGGCAATGGCTTTTATATCTTCAACTACAATTCATGGCTCTCTTTCTTCATCTTCTTATGAAAATAACCCAAAGGTACCCATAAACTTTTTCTCTCAAACTATCAATTTTTGCACTTAAATCTGTAACTTTTATGAAGATTAGACAATTTTATCATCTGGGTTCGTCTTTCTTTCCCTTTTTTGTTTTGTTTTGGTTCTCAAAATTTCAGTCTTTGCAATTAAAAGTATAAATGTGATGAACATCAAGAATTTTATCATTTGAGGTTTTTCTTTGTGTTTTTTGTTTCTCCTGGATCTCATTTGTCGATTTTTTACATTGTCACTCAGCAAATGTATCGTCCTCAAACTTCTTTGAAAGCATTGAATTTTACTCTGACGTGTTGGCTATGAAGTCATTAGTTCCATTAGCAGCAACTACCAGTAAGCTATTAGCCTTACCGATATCTGGCCTTTTTAATTTTTTACTAGTCACCCATTTTCTAATACATGTAAATAGGCTAATAGTTATGGGCTATAGCGTCTCACTATAATTATATCTTCCTTAGAGTTTGTTTAATTTGTAGGATTCACGTTTAAAGAATTGTACTAACTGTTCATGTAAAATAGTGACTATTATAGCTTTCTTGGTTTGATAATTAAGATCTCTAATTTGGTTTTATAGTTCAGTTTTGAATATTGGTTCCTGCTGAAAAGGTTGTTTATTGATCTACGTCGATTCCCGCCATCAATGTTAGCAACAATTGCAATCTTTACTGTGCAATGCATGCTCTGTGTGTCTAAGGAGTGGAAGAAAACCCACTTTTGTAGCTTTTACTGTTGTTGGAGTATACAAACAAGATATAGTAATCAAGATGGCAAAAGCAGTGCAAAGTTATGGGATATAGAGAACAGTAGTTGTTCATTCTGAAGGTTTACATTAAATGAGTCCTCTTGGCAAGATTTTCTTTTTTTTCCTTATTGTATTGTGTATATAAACTTGCACTTGACTTTATCAATCATGCAATGTGAATTGACAGGACCTGGAGCAGTCCTTATGTTACACCTGAATATATTAAAAAATTCTCTTCTAACCCATGTAAGAATCTTTTTTCTCTTCTTCTAGCACAACGTTTGGTGGCCCATTTGGACAAATTTAATTCAAAGTATGTTCTACAATTGGGTTGTTATTGTTGTTGTTCTACAATTGAACTGAGATCAATACATATATTCTCTGTTTTGTTTATTCTGAAAATTATATTTTCATCAATATTTGGAGATTGTGGTTGCTAAAGTTTGCTTCTTTTTCATTCATTACTTACATAGCCTGATGCAGAACAAATTTGAAAATATGAACATTCTCAAGCACATCTCAGTTGTTGTTGCCTTTTGACTCTAAAAGAAGAAAATAAGAAGAATAATCTGGTTTCTCATCATAGAATACAATAGCTAATATTTGTGTATCATTGCAGTTGATTTTGGTATACCAAGTTGTACTATACAGAACCTGCAAGGGGGAGCCATAGATTAATGTTGAGATACTAAGGCATATGCTTTCAGTTGAAAGAAAATGGGCCAATTGAAAATGTATTGGTAAGTCATTATATTTTCTTGATCCTTTTATGCTAAGTCATTATACTAGGATTATACCTATTTTTGCCATATGCTATATGTGGAGCTTGCACGATATCTTATGACGTAGCAATATTGGTTCAGAATACCCTTTAGAGTCGCAGCAGTGATTGAGTCCCTTGAAGCTAAGGCATTATTTTGAAGCATACACCATCAAACTCATCTCTCAAGCAGATCCCGTGAAGTTTGTGATGACTCGACATGTTCTTTCTGGACGCCTAGCAAGATGGTCCATATTGTTTAACCAATATGAGATCATATACACACCTCAAAAAGATGTGAAAGGACAAGCACTAGCTAATTTTCTGGCTGATCACCCTCTACCACCTGAATGGGAGCTTTCGGATGAGTTTCCAGATGAAGATGTTTTGTTCATTGAAGAATTTCCACCATGGACAATGTTCTTTGATGGATCTGCACGTCGTAACTATGCGGGGGCAGGTGTTGTGTTGATCTCTCCAGAAAGATAAGTCTTGCCATTCTCCTTTGTTTTAGGTAAAACATGCTCCAACAATGCCGCAGAGTACCAAAATTTGATCGTCGGTCTCGAAATAGCATTAGAAATGAAGATTCTACAGTTGGAGATCTACGGCGACTCTAAGCTGATCATCAACCAACTTTTGGGGAGTTACGAGGTAAAGAAGGAAGATCTCTAGCCATACCATCAATATGCTTCCGGTTTACTTGAAAAATTTGACCAAGTGTTCTTAAACCACGTCCCAAGAGAAGAAAATCACAAGGCTGATGCTTTGGCTAACTTGGCCACGATGATGGCACTTGGTGATAATGAGTCAACAAAGGTATATGTGTGTCATCGATGGGTTATTCCTAGACTTCTGGATCTTCAAATCAACGAAAGCCATCATACGTCTGTTCGAGTGATTGAAGAAGAAGATTGGAGGCAACCACTGATAGAGTACCTTGAACATGGAAAGTTACCTGAGGATCCGCGACAAAGAACAGACATCAAACGAAGAGCACCACGATTTATCTTCTATAAGGGGACATTGTTTCGTCGCTCTTTTGAAGGACTATTCTTGCGATGTCTTGACAAAAAAGAAGCCCGCCAAGCAATGGAAGAAGAACATTCTAGCTCATGTGGAGCACACCAATCTGGTCCCAAGCTACATTTTCGCATCAAGAGGATGGGCTACTACTGGACGACAATGGTGAAGGATTGCATGGAGCATGCCAAAAGATGTCAAGCATGTCAATTTCACGCTAACTACATCCACCAACCTCCAGAGCCTCTTCATCCAACTATAGCTTCATGGCCTTTTGATGCATGGGGACTTGATGTTGTTGGACCGCTTCCAAAGTCATCAAAGGGACAAATGTACATATTGGCCGCTACGGACTACTTCTCTAGATGGGCTGAAGTTGTTCCACTCAAGGAGGTAAAAAAGGAAACTGTTGTCGATTTTATCAAGTCATATATAATTTTTAGGTATGGCATACCAAGATACATAATCACTGATAATGGGACGCCATTTGACAACAAGCTCGTGAAGAGTCTGTGCGAGAAGTTCAGCTTCAGGCAACATAAGTCTTCAATGTATAATGCACATGCCAACGGCCTTGCTAAAGCTTTTAACAAGACGCTTGGTAACCTTTTGAAGAAAGTTGTTGAAAAGAGCAAGAGAGAATAGCATGAGAAAATTGGTGAAGCTTTGTGGGCATATCGGACAACCTTCAGAACTGCTACACAAGCAACTCCTTACTCTTTGGTGTATGGCGTAGAAGCAGTCCTTCCGTTGGAGCAACAAATTCTATCATTGCGGATCGCAATCCAAGAAGGACTCACATCCGAGGAGAATTCAACTTCGCCTAGCAGAGTTAGAGGCATTGGATGAGAAAAGATTGGAAGCGCAACAAAAATTAGAGTGCTATCAAGCTCGACTAGCTAGAGCCTTCAACAAGAAAGTGCGGCCTCGATCATTCCAAGTGGGAGATTTAGTCCTAGCTGTTCGACGACCCATAATCCTCAACAAATGCATAGGCGACAAGTTTACCTCAAAATGAGATGGGCCATATGTTGTGAAGGAAGCCTATTCAAGTGGCGCATACAAAATTATTGATAAGGATGGTCTTAGAGTTGGTCTGATCAACGGAAAATTTCTGAAGCAGTACTTCCCATGAAAGTCACCTACGCTCCTCGACGCACGAGCCTAAACTGCAAGTTATGACGCTCCTTGATGCATGAGCCTAAGCTGCATGTTGCTACACTCCTGGCCCGCATGAGTCTAAACTATGTACCACCAAAAAATAAAAAAAGCTCGCTAGGTTGAAAACCTCGCGAGAGGCGGCCTAGGCAAAAATTAGGACATAAAAAAAAAGAAAAAAAAGAACTCACCCCTCTGAACTACGTTATGACTTGATCCTCTTCATCGAGGTACGTAGGCAGCTTAGAGTTTCATTCTAAGTGCAGTCACGTGAGTTTTTAAAAAATAAAAATTTGGCGTCATCGGAACATCACATAAATTCTTCAAGTGTAGAAGCACATATCTATGAGGAAAAGAAGACGATTTGCGTTGAAGTACAAAAGATGTTTTATAGCTTCAATAGTACAAAAGTTGATACATCCAAAAATATAGAGACAAAAGAAACTAGACATTTTTCTATACAAAAGCCTAAATCATGAGGATGATCGTAAACTAGGATTTGTTGCTTACGCGTCTTAAATGCTTTTCCAAGTCTGTATGATGTCTCCACATTTAATGTCATTTTCGATGTATACCTCTCTCGCGTTCAATAGTTGTGATGATCTCTTGACCACATATCTTGTTAGGCCTCGAGCATGATAGTTTGCTTCTCTTGTGCAAGTATTGGTTGAAGGTCCCATATATGAGAAGTCGTCTCTCTTGAAAAAAAATCTTCGATCACCATGGGAGCCGCCATTGATGAACTTCAATACTATCAACAAATCAAGTGCAGCAGTTGGTGAAGGGGTAGCTCCGCATCTTGTATGACACCTCAGTCTGATATCTCAATCCTTTGAGCTTCTTTGCGAGTCTGCAAAAGAAAATAAAGAGAAAAGATTTGTGAAGCATGATAGTCAAATTTACTACATGTAAGATAGTAAAGTCAACTTCAATAAGAAGAAAAAAACTCTCAGGACAACTCAGAGAGCATAGAGATGGAAAGCGAGCTCAACAGACGACGAGATCAACTTCAAAAAACTACCGCGGTCCATCTGGAAGATGTTATGCCCCTAACATTTTTTTATTTGTAGATTCAGATGTCTAGTTTCCAACAATATAAACCGTTTACAATTTGGAGACTCCTATCTCAAGATACAATATTTTTGCCGGAACTACACGAATCTGAAAGTTTACTGCAGCTAGGTCGAATTTGAGAATTTTCTGTTTTCATCCCAAAAGGATTTCTGTCATAAAATTCATATGTAATGCAGCTCTATGAGTTTGCTTTCTAATGGAGCAAACGGATTGCAATTTGGAGATTCCTAGCTCGAGATATGAATTTTGTGCCTGGAGCGCGAAAAACTGAAAATCAGCAAGGCAGACGTCTAGATCAATTTCAAGAAATTGTTGCGGCCAATCTGGAAGGAATGCTTCTGTGATATTTTGAGAATTTTCTTATCTCTGAGTCTTCTTTCTATTGGCACAAACGGCTTGTGATTTCGATGTTCCTAGCCTAAGACATGACTTTCTTTATCTAGAGTGCGCAAATTTGGAAATCAAGTGCGGCAGATGTCTGTAGCAACTTCAAAATATTATGGCGGATGTTCTGAAAGGATTTTTGCCGTGCTATTTACAGATATTGTGAGTTTTGGAATTTTCTTTCTAACAGTACAGATGGATCATGATTCTGATACCCGAAGCTCGAGATATGAATTTTTCAATGAGAGCATGAAATGCTATGAAGTCAAAACAACAGAGATGCGCCAGGTGCTTGCTTGCCGAAGTTGGAAAGGCCTACTCCAGTTTTCTTCCTCGCCAACCTACAGCGATACGATATGGTACATATTGCGCTCGCCAATGATGATATAGGGTCTCTCCGAGCCTCCAAGAGTAGGGATTTCGTCGCCGATATTGAAAGGACACTTCATGTTTCTCTCTCGCCAACCGCAACAAAGAGACGAGTAGTTCGCTCACAATGCATCTTCCTAGGGACATCAAGATCTCTGAAACTCTCTAAAAATCCTGCAAAAAAAAATATTTTGGGAGTTCTCGGTGCCAATAGCGTGACGTTTCAGCAACACAATACTTTAATTTCACAATATCGATGTAGATGACAGGAAGCTTTTGATTTTACATGATTGATTGGTGTCGACGGTGCAAAGCTCAGTTCAGAAACCAATGCTTCATGGGCCATAGCTGATTTCGTTTAGTGGTTCTGCTGCTTCATGAATACTTCTCCACAGCCCCACGTTCTGAGAAAAGAAAAGAAGAAAAAGGTTAGCATGAGTAACAAAAAGTTTGATTAAAACTAATCAGCATGGAAAGGGAAGTTAAAATTTGGGAGCCTCATTAATCTCTAGCCTCGACCAAGAGTTAGGTCGTTGAGTATCCGAAACCAGAAGTTTCACCAGCCACGCGCAAGCAATAAAAACAACGGCATGGAGCTTTCACTCAGCAATAAGAACCGGTGTCAATGACACAACGCTTCAATGCGGATGGTGAGCATTGTGACGTGCACTTCTTCGTCAAATCTCGATGGATCGTACGCTTTATGAACCTCTTCCCTACAAAAAAGGAGTGATGACCATCCACTTCTTCTCATGATGTGAGTTGGAGAAAACGCCATGTATATCTTCTCCAAGCCTGCAACAAAATAAAAGGAAAAAAAAAGAAGTATGTTGCCCGAACAATCCTCTCGATTTCGGCGCTTGATTGATCAAAGATTTGTTGCGTATGGATCAAAAGAGCTGGAGCTTTGACTTTTATAGATGTTGTATCTCACCGAGTCTTCTTACCAACGGTGTAAACAGCTCGTAGTTC